TATATATATATATATAAACGTTCTGTTTGTATTCTTTTTGTAAATCTATTCGTTAACACATCGCTGAAATAAAATTTTATATTAAAATTGTTAAAATAACATTGTTAAAAAATAAATATTAAATATTAAATTAAAATTATTATTAATATAAATATCTCCAAAATATATTTGATCTTCGGTCACATATAGAATCGAATTTATCTATTGTGCGTATTTTTCTGTCGCGCGAAAATACGTACCTGGTGAAATCACCCTTGCAAAGCCGCCAAGGGAGCAAGTCGATCTTATCGTGCAAAAGAGGCGAGATATCCGGACTAACGATGTATGGAGTGCCAGCGCCGGAACCACGGGTCAGCAATTTTCTATTGTCATCGTAGCAGCAATGCTGCGCGACAGCGCTCTCGCTTTCCTGAGAGGGTAGAGTCTGCACGCAGTAAGCGGCACCAGGTTTGTAGATCGTGAGTCGGTCTGTATCATGACTCACGTCTCGCCATCGAAAGTTCTTCTCACGCTTCCTGTCCCAGATCTGGTTCTCGTAGAAGACGCCGTTCGGATACTGGCAGGGGCACGCTGGCAAGTCAGTGACGGATCCTGCGGACACGTACACCCACCACACACACACGTCGAACGTCGTTCGCACGAGGACTCTCGCGAAATTCATTTAGCGAACTCGATTATCAAGTTTTTACCCGGAAAGGCTTCCTCGATTTTCTCCCTGTTGTCCAGCCACTTCTGACAGCGATCTTCATCGTCGAAGATGGTCGCGTTGTTGATGGCACTTGAGTTCGACTTCGCCGTTGGTGCGACATGATCGCTTTCTCTGGTATCGTTCTCCAACGCTTTGATCAATCTTGCCAGAAGAGATTCCAAACCTCCGTGAAAAGGATAATGATCGTCGGAAGATTCGTTATCGAAAATGTTACCCGCGTTTACGTTTACATTAAGATTAGTCCCATCAGAAATTGGCGTAGTAGTAGCTTTCCTATAATTCTTCATCGAAATTTTCGATTTTGCATTTGGTCTTGTACGAGGACGATGTGTCGTACGGCGTTTGGTCCTTAAGGGAGGATAAGGTCTCCTCCGGATTTTGTATTCGCCTCCATATTCATTGAACAAGATATGCATCATTGAAACTGGATTGTCTAATAATATTTTAAAATCTGACTTGTATACCTCATGTGAGCTATCTTGTGTTGTTAAGGAATTTTGTACCTAAGAAACAAAAAAGGCAAGAATTCAGGCATAGCAATTTGTATCGCCGTATAGTTGAGAAAGAAAATAAAGTCAAACGAAAAAGGATTCAAACATATACTGTACATATTGTTTGCTTTATTATAATATATGTTTGATCTGTTCGAATAATTCAAAGAAGATGAACAGCAAAAGATCTTGTATGGCGATGGTGCAATGTGACAACAGAATACAAAGTTTTCTTAGCAGTGGGATAGATAACGTTAACAAAATGTGTGGCACTGAAAAAATTTGCGCTCGGTGCAAACCATTGAATTCGCAATAAGGTAGCGATGATGACGCGGCAACCGATAAGACGACACGCGGAATGTCGGATCTATTTCCTTTCGAGGCGCGTAGATAAATCCAAATGGAAATATGTATCTCGCATATACCAAGAGGAGATCCGTCAAAATGGAGAGATCGATGACCGGCGTGACTGCGCGCGATACGTAAAAGGCTGACACGGTCGCAGCGACATCAAAGGACGCCGGCGTTTGACGCGTGGATAGAAAGAACGCGGAGGCGGAGAAGAAGAGGGACGACGATCCCTGTCAGCGAGGGACAGAGCGTTTACTTCTGAGAACAGATCTCGAGGCATGCCGCAAGATCGTTTCCCGTCAATGGCGTAGCCGCCTGCTGGTAGCGAAATCAGATTTTCGAATGAACCAAGTGAAAATGAAAATCACGAGAGGAAAGATGGGAATGTCACCAGTGTGAATTCTTTCAGCCACTTGGAAAGTGATAAGTGATGGATTCAAGTTCTACAGTTCTTACTATTCTATTTACTCTTTAAAACATTCGGTTGTATAAAAACTCGAATTGTTTTGAGTCGAAAATCGAAGAAGTTTATAAAAGTTTCCTAAGAAAATCTGGATGATTTTTAACATCTCGAAAGTTTTGAAAATCCAAATAAAATGTTTAAGATCTTTAAAAACAAATTTAATATTAATATTTATTATTTCCCTGTATAAAATAGAAGAATTGAAATTTAAAATGTTACAAAAATGAAATTACATTTTCCAAATATTCAAGATTTTCAATTTTAGATTCGAAATTTTTTAAGTCAAGATATCGTTAAGTTTTAACATTTATTATAATTAACATTTAAAATAATTGAAGATTTTCGTAATATATTCAAAATGCACATTCACATGAATCTCGAATTCAGTGTATTATGGTAAGTTTTATCGCAAATATAACCCCCTCCACTCCCTCCCTCTCCCCACATCTCATATGTTCAAGAAAGAGGTGCTTAATAAAACCATAACGAATATTGATAAAAGTGATAAAAAACTCGATTGATTAGTTAACAAATTGAAATATTAATGTCAAATAATTAAAAAAATTACATTCAAGAAATGACAATAAAAAATGAAAAATGCGATTTAGATCTCTCCTCTTGAATGTCTCAATACATTTTCAAATAAAAGAAAAAAATAGACCGTTAAATACACGAGAAGACGATATCAAATTAAAATTGTTTGATAATAAACAGTTAATATGATGAATAATAGCATGGCCTGAAAAGCATTTATGCACTGGAAATATGCAGGAAGTGAGATCACTAAGAAAGGATTTCAAATAAATCAGATTTAAAAATGCGAAATTGTGCGAAAATGCGCTACCGATTTTCTATCTTTCTAAATCTCTTTTTTCATTTTCTTTTACAATAGAAATTGTGACTTTATTCCTGGTACGTTAGAATGACTTCAAGATTAGGAAAATAACGTACATGTGGAAAAATAATTCAGATTATAGATCCGGTCTGATTTAAAAAAAAAAATCACTTATTGTCGTTTTTTTGGCTACTTACTTTATGATCCTCATCACTCTGCGAAACCACGAAAATTGAGTGACAAATCGCGAGGCAAATTAAGAATAGCGTACTCATTTTGTCACACCGGATTCCGATCTCGATGGGACAGCGTTCCATTTCTCTTAGCTATATCCGCTGTTACGAACATAACTAACGTGCCTGCACACAATCGATACCCAAATACGCGACGAATCACATCCTGTTGTGTCCGTTACGGTCTCGGGGGACGTGACTTTCCTATCTTCTCCGACGAGCCAGTCTGTTGACAATCTCGGGAAATCGGCGTTTGACTGTTTGTTTACCAGCCGCATTCCACGCGCGTGGACGCGGATAACAAGAGTCGTCGAGAAGATGCGTATCCCGCGGGGAAACGGAGTCCGATGACGCGTGATGTAAGACGGACGATAGGCAAAAGAACGAAGAGCCGAGGGTTTAGGAAGATCCCGAGCGGGGGGAAAGGTAGGCGCACACCGTTCAAAGGCCTTACCACTAGGCGCATAGTTGTAAACCGGTGAAGTTTGTCCCACTGTAATAGCCGGTGGTGGACAGAGGGAAAAAGATGAAAAGAGAAGGAAAGAGGGGAAAGAGCTAAGCTACAAAATAGCTAAGCTTGACAGTCCTGGATGACCCATGGAATATCGTGTCGTCGTTGGACGCGCTATGACGGACGACCGCCTGCATTAACCCTCGACCATGAACGCGGAGTCTACATAACACTTCTACCACTTGTTTTATAATTTTAATAAGCTATCAATCATTTTCTTTTTAACAAAATAAATAAAACCTAATTTTCTATGCATACTTAAAGTTCCATTCGATGCTTCCATCGTCTGCGTCATTCTTCGATCCATTTTATCTTTGTTGTTTACTGAAACTTTGTTGTTTACTTGAACACGACTGATGATATTGACATAAACGTCAAACGTAGAATATACTGTAGTGTGTATCTCTAATAATATCTATGAATTTTAATCTTGATTAAATTTACTCTTTATTTTTTTTTTATTCATAGAACTAAGAGAAAATAAAAATAAGTTAAACTGTGAGATTAAAGTTAATTTAGATTGATAGAAATAAATATTAGAGCTGAAAAATTCAGCAGATAAGAAAATTCAAATTCAATGTCAGCAGTAATTTTATGTATAGAATAGAAAATAATTTGTTTTCTTTTATATTTAAAAGAAGAAATTTTTGGGATTCTATATTTACTATATGTATAATATTTATAATTAACAAAATAATAACAGAAAATGAGAAGAAGATAAAAATATACTAAAATATAAGATACCAAAGTACATTGGTATTTCGTATGCCTTCTATGGTATATGTGGGCCTTATATGATACATTGTATTGTTGAAAAACCTGAAGTTGATATTTATTCCACGATTTAATGCTTCTAATTCAATGAATAAATATTAATTTAACATTTTTAATGTGTGCTTGTTTATAACTCTTTAATTTATATATTTATATTATTTTATTACACTAACGAGCTGAATCCTTTGAATGTTTTCTCTTCTGATACAGTTTTTTCTTCTGAACATTTATTCTTTTTCTTATCCTTTTTATTTTCATTTTGTACGATTAGTCCATCGCTTCTTTTTAAAATTTATCCAAATTTGCTTTAAAATTAGAATTACTCTCATTTAATATACAGGATGATTCAAAACAACCATTTGTTCTTAAAATGTCATATTCCTGAGATGATTCTAAGACTTTTTTCTCTACCAAATTTTTATCAGAAGCTTAATTTTTGAGTTATAAGGGAAAACAGTTTGCGAATTACGAGCCGCGTACAGAAGATAGGCAGGGGCGATGCAACTCAGCGAGAGTCCGACGCGGATGATTGCATGTGCGTGTGTGTGCATCCGCGCGCGTGCGCACGCGCGCGCATATGTGTGGTAAGATGCAAAACATGCATGTGTTGCATGTATCAATACTCGCGTATAGTTATCAGCTGATTGCATCGAGTGCCTCATAATCGCCCGCGTAATCGCCCGTGTCGGATAATGAGTTGCACCGCTCCTGCCTATCTTTTGTATGCGGTTCGTAATTCGCAAACTGTTGTCTCTTATAATTCAAAAACTAAGCTTGAATGAGCTAAAAAATTTGATAGAGGAAAAATCATCTTAGAATCGACTCAGGAATATGACTCAGGAATATTTTAAGGACAGTTGTTTTGAATCACTCTGTATGTATATTAAATTATATATATTAGGGGCAATATTTTTATTCTTGTTTAAGCTTGAACAAGCGAAATATTTTAAATCGAGATTTTAAATGAGAGTTTTTAAAGATAGGTTGAAAAAATAAAAAAAAAAGAAAGTGAATAAAGAAGAAAGACAATATAAGACAGGAGAAAAAAACAAGAGAAATAAGAGAAAAAAAGCTAGAAAAAAAGAGAGAGAGAGAGAGAGAGAGAACATTGAAATTGAAAAGAAATGATAAGATTCTGTGGCAGAAGATAGAAGAGAATATAGTTGAAAGAGGATTCACCATAGATGGCACCAATAGGAAGAAGACCGACAGAAGGTAAGAATAAAAGAAAGAAGAAGGTAAATCATTAGAAAATTTTTGTTATGGGAAGAAAGGAAGCAGGGAGAAGAGAATTCGAAAGAATAATAATCGATGATATGAAGAAAATAAGAAAAAAGATGAGAGAAGAAAAAACAGAGATAAAGGAGCAAAACAGAGGGATAAAATAAAAATAAGAAGAAAAAAAGAAAAGCAAGTAAGAAAAATAGGAAGGAGGGAGAGAGGGGGAGGGAGGGAGAGAGGGAGAGAGAGAGGAGGGAGGGCGAGCGAGAGAGAGAGAGAGAGAGAGAGAGAGAGAGAGAGAGAGAGAGAG